CATACTTTACTATCGACGTAAAGAAGACTTTTACACTGAATGTATGTATACATAAATGAAAGTTTAACACTTGCCTGAAAAAAGCTATGTTGGAACTAGTTAGAACCAGTAACAAAATAATAAAGTAATAAATTAAAACAAGGGTTTCGGGTAAATAAACCACATATTTGAATAGATTGTGCCAGTTCAAAAGCAACGAATTACATTTTACGGTCTCATTAATAATTTAAAGATAAGAAAAACTAGAAGAACTTTTCACAGTGCACTTCGGATTTGTCATTTTCCTAGAAATATTCCACCGTATGTCCAAAACATATTTTAAACGTAAAGAAATTCCGGTTTTTTTCTAGAATATTTTAAACTACAGTAGATATTTCCCAGTGAAATTGAGACAGGATTTCATAAAAAAAACATTTTTTATGTTCCATAAACTTAAACAAATATTTTTGTTCCCTTTTTATATTTTTGTATAAAATACTGAGTATGACCCAAAATAAATCAATCAAAATTATAAAAAAAGAGAGACACCAGTAACCAGCAAAATAAAKACAAACAAATATTTAGAAAGCCACACCATTTAATTTAGCAGAAAATTAAGAATAGAAAATTTAGTAACAATTAGAGAACAATTATTTATACAAGAKCTTTTAGGCTTTCCCGAAGTTACATTTTCATTTTAAGGAGTMATTTTCATATAGAWTTGGTCAGAACAAGAATTAAACTTCTTTAAATGCGACCTCAAATATCACTATGCAGATTTCGAATTGTTATGAATTCTCAACAAAAATTGTTGGTTTTGTTAAATTAATCTCTGTCGATTGTCCCAATCAATTTAACTAAAAATACCTATATGAAGCTTACGAGAAAATAAATAAATAAATGTAGTTTTTATTTTTTCAACAGCAATGTAGGAAGCTAAAAACATTTTTCCTATATATATATCTATCCTATATTTTCTTGAACAATTGCATCGAGTCACTTGATTCTTGTCAGCTGTTATTAAACCTCAAAGCTGTTGTGTTAATAATTTTCATTAACTTGTTTCTAATACATTTTCTGTGTAAGAAGGCTAAAAGAAAATATAAATCGCTTTCAACACAAAAACATTGAAAAAAAATTGGTGTCAACAAGAAATATTGTACAAAAGGTAAAAGCCACTAAACGAAATTATAAAACAATATTACGTTCCAATAAAAGGCATTCAGATATAACCTGGCCCCTTTTACCTTCGGTATTCGATTCGAGAAATTAAAATGTCCATTATTTAGGTTTAAAGCAAATGACTTCCATCGACTGTTGATTAATTAAAATCAAATCGAAACGACTGTTTGAAAAGAACTCGACCCGGCACATTTTCAAATAAAAGGTTTTTTACTTGTACCCTTTAATTTGAATTTATAAACTGGGAAAAGGGTGTCGATTTTATATTGAATAATTAATTTAATCAGAGATTAGCATTTTATTGATAGTTTTTAATTAATATTATATAAAAATTTTAAATGTTACGTATTACGGTATGTTATTTTCAGTTTATCCCATAATGTTACACATTGTTACAATGCGACGACAGCCAAGTATCATTTCCTGTCAACGGCATCAAAGATAACGAGATTTTCATATTTCAGCGTTTGTCGCAGTACTTTGCAAAGTCAACCAAGCAATAATCAGCTGGAAATATTTTACAGTTTCTGGGAAAATGCTTATTTATATTACTAACATACACACCAGTCATCAATCATAACGGGTTTATCTTGGACCGGCTTTTCCCCAGTTTCGCTATTTTTTTCGAAAATTTTTTCGTTACAGATTGTTTTCGCTATGGAACCTAATGCTTAGTGTATTATTATTTTGATTATTCCGATAATTTCAAAAAGGATGTTTTTGAAGTTGTCGTTAGAATATTCTAAGAGGCGAAACTTTCGGCACTAAATTTGCAACCTTAATTAGTGCATAGCATCTGAGCTTTAGCAATTAGTTTTAATAGAAAAAAAATTAACATTCAGCTTTTATTCTAAACTAAAAAATGATCGTGAAGCCTTACGTCGATTTATGATCTCCGATTCATCAAACCTTGTAAGGATTTCTATATCATATTTATTATTTCGCTGTTCTAAGACTGTGCTGATAATTTACTTTTTGTTTACACATTGCAGCATGCAACATGAAAAGTATCAAAATCTCGGCGATACATTCAAATGTATTTTATTGTTCAGCAAGCTAAAACATCATGAAAGTATCAAAAATAAAAAAGTATTAAATGTTTTATTCACTATTTCAATTAAGTTCCTTCCAGCTTAGGGCATAGTTCGAATGCGCCCCTAAAAAACAACTTTTATCACTCAAAGGTTTGAAGAATAGTTATTCTATTCTTTGATCGAAAAATGGCTGAAAACAAGCTACGTAATTTAGATAACGACACAATTTACAAAAGTATTTTGAGTTTCTTCGAATCATTAAGGAGCGACAAATTGTCAATTTTTCATCATCGAAAAAACAACTTTGAACCAATTTAGCCGCTATATGTTCAATACTTGTACTGCTTTTAATAGGAAATAATTATTTTAACTGATCAGTTTCCCTATTCAATAAAATATTATTTTAATTGAATAATTTTCGAATTGAGATTGGATCAAAATTTACAATTGATCAATGAAGGTTGAGTAAAAGAGTCTCAAAGTGGTCGACATAATATTGTTGATTGCAAAACGGTACTCTAATGTAACAAGTACTATAATATGTATATCCTAAGGAATTTTTAGCTCAACTTAACTGGGAAATTAAGCTGAGCTAAAAATCCAGTTTAGAGAATTTCGGGCGTTTTTCGATTACACTATCACAATTTGGCAAACTTTTAAACACCATTCGTTTCCTATTGATTCATCCGATCCATTAATTAGCTGACTTTAGATGCGTCTTTAATAAATATATGTATATCCATACACACAAAGATGCGCATCCTGTTCTGAAAAATCTGAATCTCAAATAAACCAACAGCTTAAGTTTGGCGCATGCAAATATCGAATTAGCATTATGCAAATAGGTTTTGTTTGATACAGGTAAATCCGCAAAACGCACCAGCCATTCCGGTATAGGTAGCATGGCTTAATAAAAGACGTGTTCTTCTCAAGCACAACCGACCATAGAGTGTGATTCGCAAAAGTTCACATCTTTAGGACAGAACATTTGATTATTCACCGTTTTTACATCTTTGAACGACTCAAAAAAATTGGGAAGAAACAACGTTAATTTTTTTAAATTGCCTTTATATAGGTTTTTAGTAACAAAAAATGCATTTAAATTTAGAAGAAATAACCGCCTGACTAACCCAAACACACGCCCACTGAATATTGATTGTCGGGTCTTATTTCCTATTTTTATAAAAGAACAAGAATAGATTCAGGTACCATGTTTCGTTTCCGCTCCGGCGTGGAACGCGAGAAGCTTATTAGCATCATTAGTAGACATATTAATAAAAGTAGTGAACATATTTTATAGATTCCCAGCCTCAATATTTGGTTTTTCAAAAATCTCACAACTATCAGTGTACTATTTTTTTTCATTGCTGCTGTATATTTACTTAATTGCGATGGAAAATTAGTAATTATTCGGAAAATTTATTTATGTTGTGGAATTTAGTAAATAATGTTGGTGTACGTTTTAAGGCGCATTTAAATATTCTTTTTTACCGTAGATTTTGTCAAATACCAAAATTGTTCCAAGTATCTCGAACAATGTTGATTTATTTTATAACTGCATTTGAATGTATATCTAAATCAAACAATTTGTTTATATACAAAATTGTATTGAACTTTTCAAGACAGTTTATTTCAAAATGAGCAACGTTAATTATATCCTCAATTTGAATAATTAATAATATAATATTTAATCTTTTCTACAAACTCTTTTTTGGTATTTCGCCTCAAAAATGTTTGTCTTTAAAAAAGACAGAATTTCCTCACGTCTTTTATTACAGATTGATAAATAGTGCTCCTA